TATAATGAGATGTGGTGATGTAATATTTCCAATTACTAGATTGATTTGGGTGTTTGTTATTCAATTCATAGCAAATTAATTTATCTTTAAATTAATTCTGCAGATGTTTCGTATATTTTAAGAAAGTCGTTGGTACGCGTCTGTGTCCTTTCCTTTTAATGCATTGGATTAATTAATGTTTATCTTTACGAGTTTTAGACGTACGTCATAAAATTTAAAAGGATTAATGGAATTCTTTACTTAAAAAGATACAGCGCCTTTAAAATGTTATTGTTCTAGAAAAGATTTTCTTTGAAATGACTTTCGTTGTGTAATTATTGTAACTTAATAAAGAGAAAGAAAAGATTTTCTAAATTCTTTTTATTAAAGTGCGTCCAAGTTGCATAGTTTCCAAGAAACTTTTTGTTTATTTTGGTATGTTTCACTTGGCACAATTTCCAATTATTGTTATGCTCAAAATAATTTTCGATTTAAAATTTTGTATTAAAAGAATCGTTGATGTTTTGAGAATAAATTTGTTAGAAATACGATACTATTAATTTATAGTAATAATTTTATACGTATATAATAATAATCAGAAAGAAGAATTTTCCGAAATCGATCTCTATCCATTTTGACTAAACATATATTTTCTCAAAATAGCTATTAAGTATCAACAATAAAGAATAACAACAATATTATTTTGTTCATTGACGATATTACTATTTTACATAAATCAAACTTAATTGCTTTGGTGTAGCATGTTGAAGAAAAACAAAGTATTATTTTTAATTGGTTACCGGAAACCGATTTTAGTTATATAAAACTCAATGTTTTAATATCACATTATCGTCCTCTTGATATACGAGAACGTGCATTATGCTTATTGGTATGTTGGTATATTGGGAATCATTAATGAACGCCATCTTATGCCACTCGAGGTTCCAATACAGCCGCAACCTACACCACTTCAAACGTTGCTGTCACTGTTAAGTCGTTAGTAGTTACACAAGATGTTGCCGATGGGATTGCAAACCAAATACTCTAATTCGGCGATAAATAGTTCAAAGACTTACATAACGACATTCGTTACTTAGTTATGGATCGGCAATTGATCTGCCACTAAAGGATCTGCTATTGCATTTGTTCTTCATCACTCCCTCATCCATGTCTGATGTCTACGTTACAAGCTTTAAATGATCTTTGGTCAGTTAAATATCGCGAAATTCACATGCCATGAAGAAATACGAATTGCATTTAGTTAGATAGTTATATGATCTCCAAATTGAATTTAGTAATTTGTGAAATAATACACACTTTCTACTTTAAACATATTTTATTCCCATTTCTTTTGAGGAAAATTTATTGAATTGAGAATTTTTCTGTTTCTGTTCTTGTATATTAAAGTGTTTATTGCACATAAAGGTCAACTTAGGCAGTTATAAAAGTTGTCGGGGTGGCTAGAACGAAAAAACCCAATCCAACAACTTTATAGATCTGATGTAATCATTGCCATCATCTAAATCTGTTTGTTGCTTCTTTTTTTTTGTTTTGTTCGATTGAGGTGTTTCGTTTTGTTTCGCTGACATCTGTTTATGTCTTTGGAATAAGTTGGTGTATTTACCTTACTTAGTATAGGTATGTACATATATACTAGTGATGGAACGGATGGTGATTTTGCGAAAAGCCGGATACCTTCGGCCGGTTATCCGGTTATCCGGCATATCTATCCGGCCATTATGGTTATAATTTCTGGTGCATTTCTGAAGTGATACCCTACATTGCCACATTATTACGATATTTGAATAAAAATGAAATAAATAAGAAAGCTGATAAGATATGTCAACTTATTTGGATCCAAGATACAAAATGAACTTTTACTAACGAAGCAACTCTAAAAAGTGGATACTTTAATTAATAATTGGCGATATTTCCAAAAGGATCCTCAAAGAAATGAATTTTATAGTGAATTTTGAAAATTATCGATGAAAATTGCAACATTAAAAATTTTACCAAAACTTCAAATATTGTTTTCTCACAAACTAAAAGTTATTTTTCAAAACGGGTTAGTTCATTGGAAAGAGGACACTTTTATTAACACTTTACGACATTTTCATACTCATATTCGAAGAACTGGATTTTATACGAATTTTTAAAACTTAATCGGCGAAAATTGCAAAATTCGAATAAATTATCAATCATTTCAAAAATTTATTTCTCCAAAAACTAAAAGCGATTATTCAAAACGGCTTGTTGCATTAAAAAGAGGATACCTTAATTAATAATTGGTGATATTTCCACAACAATCCTTCAAGAAATTACTTTTATAGCGAATTATGAAAGTTATCGTTAAAAATTATTGCAACATCGAAAATTTTATCAAAACTTCAAATACTGTTTTCTCAAAAACTAAAAGTTATTTTTCACAACATGTTGGTTCATTGGAAAGAGCATACTTTTATTAACATTTTGGGAAATTTTCATACTCATATTCCAAGAAATCGATTTTATACGAATTTTTAAAGCTTAATCGGCGAATATTGCAAAATTCGAAAAAATTATCGATCATTTCAAAAATTTATTTCTCAAAAACTAAAAGCGATTATTCAAAACGGCTTGTTGCATTAAAAAGAGGATACTTCAATTAATAATCGAAACTGATAACAGCGACAGCTCTGTTAGGAATGTGATGATGAATTACAAGCGAAGAGAAGAAAACTAGACGAAACTGCAAGAAGAGATTTTATATATCATATTGGGAATGTTACGATGAGGTTGCTAATGACAAACCTGATACAAATAAAATTGTATTCAATGAAAAAAGTCCTATTGGGGTTGAATTTGATTATTATCTGCAGTTTCCAACACCTAAAAGAGATACTAATTCCTGTGAATGGTGGAGTACTAAGTAATAGATTTTTAATATCCGGCCAAAGACGGATATCCGTTCCACCACTAGTATATACCAATACTGTATCCATCACCTATTGTTATTAAAAGATGTCACGTTTGAAGAAATGTTCAATATATAAATATAAATCCAAACGCAGATGTCACGCAGTGATAGAATTTCTCTTGATAACACTAATTTAATGACTTTCCCTATATTTCCCTTTCATAATAGTCAGCTTCTCGTTTCCTTAATTCTTGATTGTTCCAATGCTATTTTCACATCCTCGTCTGTAATTAAATAACAAAAACAAAATAATAAAAAAAATCTTTTGTTTCTTTTAATATCGCATTTTTCTGGTTTAAAACCCATTAATTGTGGTTTATGTGGTAAGAATAGTTTTTATCAATAGTTAACAACTGCTGTGCAATCATCACTAATTTATTACATATGTATCATATATTTCCTCACAATTATAACAAACTTTACCTTTTCTCTACACTCGTCATCAACGTTTTTTTTTTCATTTTATTTCCTGTAATAAAGAAAAACACACTTTACAACTTTTTCCCATAAATGAAATTATGGGTTTCCCACGGTTGCTTTTTTCAAATTTTCTTCTCCTACAGTATATATCCGTACCTGTACCATGTCGATACCATTTCATCAAATGGTATCGACCTTTTTATATGTCTGAACATCATATCATCAACTTTATGCTTTCCTTATTTTCTTATTGAATAAATCTTTCTTTACTATAAATGTATCCTTACTCTTCTTCAAGAAATTCTTTAATTATCTTTTCTAGTCTATTTACATTTCGACAAAGATGTTTTGCATCAAATATTTTCGATCAAAATTTGACAAAGATGGTCGAAAAATAATTTATAGCCCGTTAAGTAAATGGAATACTATGGTATAATATATAATGTAATATAAGCCTCCTAACTTCATTTTTAAGTTCAAAGTAAAGCTGAAAGGATCCAAAATTGGGATAAATGAGATTTCGAAAACAGATAGTTTGGTCATATGACGATAAAATTTTGTTATAACATCAACGAATCATCTATCAGCTATACGGATAAAATCATCATTGGATCTAGAGAAAGAAAAATCTGAAGATAAGAGAGAGAAAATTAACGTATTTTTATTTTTCGAAGACTTAACTTTCCGAGACTTTCCAATTGTTTGTTAATATGATTACATAATTAATACAATGTTAAGGCGTGATAAGGAATCAGAGGGGCAATGTTCCACATTTGAGAAATCATTTCTCGTATTCAAAGAAACACATAATGGTGCAATGACGAGGAAGATTTAACGCATACGTTTTACGGTAGATTGCCTACTTTGATGTATATTTAGACACAGTAGAGATTACCCGCAGTTCTTCGTCAAATGATATGGGTAGATGAAAGGATTTTCACTCGTAATGAGGTTAATAATCTCCATAATATTCATAATTAGGCTCTTGAAAGTCCTCATATTAAGTCCTTTGAGTGTTACAACGCAGATTTTCGTTACACCTTTTAAAGGTGGTATGAAGAGAAAAGTAAGAAGGTGTCTCAATAATAAATATGTAGTAGTAATAAATATATATTTTGGTGTATTGTTATAGGCGGCCCAGTTTCATGATGTGTGGTGGCAGCCAGAGACTTGAGTTTTGATAGATTAGTTATTTACTTGTAGTATGGTTTTTGCACTTTTCGCAAACAAATAAACCAAACCAGTTCTTACACTGTTTAAAATCACGTCTACCGATATATTAAACTCTAAGTTTAACATTAGATATATTACACGTATTATCTATCATCTCCTACAACTGGTGTGTCAAGCATGCAGTTTTTTTTAGCTCAGCAGCAATTATCTATAGTCTTCATCGAAATACACTCCTGCTTCACGATCCAACTGCTTTATAATAAACATCTACAGAAACTCCGTTTAAGATAAACGCATAAATACTAATACGTACGTTTTTTTTTATTTCGCGAATATCCACGGATCATCTTACTAATTGTATATTTCCTTAATTTTATGCTACACATTAAATTTGTTCAGATTATTTAATTTCCTATGAGTATATTAATTAAACTATAAACTTTTAAGTAAATTTATATATTTTTCTTTTCAGGGATGAACGAGTTATGCAATATGTAAGAACATTCACTCAGTATTGTTGCACATTAAACTCATCATTACGTGCAAACGTCTCCAACCTCTTGCACAATCTCCTTCAAAAATTAACGGCCCTGGAAGCTTACGACAAATCAGTTGAAACGCCAATGGTATCAATCGAAGGACTTCCCGGTGATATAACGGAATTATGTCCCAATCCGGGTGTTCTAGCACAACAATTAACGCACATTGAACTCGAACGATTATCGTTTATCGGCCCCGAAGAATTCGTTCAGGCATTTGCCAAAGAAAATCTTTTTTTGGAGAACGCTTTTCGGGATATGAAGAAAACGCGCAATTTAGAGCACTACGTACAATGGTTTAATAGGTTAAGTTATTTCGTTGCCACACAAGTTTGCAAGGTATTAAAGAAATTTTTAATAATTTAAGAGGATTCGGGATAACTTTGATTCATTTTTTAGTGTCCAAAGAAGAAACAACGTGTTAAAGTTGTTGAGTATTGGGTTGAAGTCGGTGGGGAATGTTTGAATATCGGGAATTTTAATAGCTTGATGGGTATTATTGCTGGTTTGAATATGTCTCCGATTGCCAGATTAAAGAAGACGGTAATTGATTATTATTTTTATTATAAGGTTACTTCAGATTATTGTTTTTTTTTAGTGGAGTAAAATTCAATCTGGAAAGTTTGCTATTTTGGAACATCAAATGGATCCAAGTAACAACTTTAGCAGCTACAGAAGCACATTAAAAGCAGCAATGTGGAGAAGTGAAGGTGCTACTGACCAACAACAAAAAATTGTGATACCTTTCTTTAGTTTATTGGTGAAAGATTTATACTTTTTAAATCAAGGATGTTCCAACAAGTAAATCTTTTTATATTCGATTTATTTTTAATTATAATTAATTTTTGTTTTGTAGATTACCAAATGGTCACATAAACTTTGAAAAATTCTGGCAGCTAGCAAAACAAGTAACGGAATTTATGGTATGGAAACAAATAGAATGTCCTTTTGAAAAGGACCCGAAAGTACTTTCAATGCTTTTACACGGACCCGTTCATAACGAAAATGCTTTAGCTTTGGCAAGCTTTGAATGTGAACCTCCTGATAATAGTCAAGATAAAGAACGGTGCAAAAGCTTAAAAGTCGATGGTATTACCAATTAGACTGTTCAATCTAACCCCCTTTTTAGATATATATTCTATATCTATACACAAATTTATCTATATATTAATATGTATGATTATATTTATACATACAAGTATTATTCCGCACATTGTGGAACACTTTATATATTATACATACAGCTTAAATTATTGTCATTGTACTCCTCAGTAAGTTTCGTCGTGGATATTAATAGATTAAGTGAGTAATAAAACTATATAATATAATAAAATTATTAAACCCAGAATTTGTTTACATTTTTATTTACACCAATATTTCATAATTTTTAACGATATTCATTTTAAAAATTTGTCTGCAATTTAATTACAAAAACTTCAATTAAAACTAATTTCATACATTTTCTTCCTAATTCTTGTAGATTTATTATAATTTTCCTTGAATTATTTGAAGATACAAACATACTGTAGACTTTAGCAGACAATTTATTAAAATTTTTTTCTTAAAAGATGAAAATCAGAGTCATTTGAATAATTCCTTGGCATTCAGAGAAAAGTAATAATGTTAGTTAACTTTGGAAATGCAATTCTTGTTGAAATTTATAAACTAAATAAACACCATACCATAAATAATATAAGATACTTCTTTTACTTGGTACATTTTTAATTTTTTTCTCAAATCTTTATTACGCCCACAATGGGGCCGTTACCTTCGATCGAATAGAAAGATCGTCTTTCAAAAAATCGATAAACTATGTAAAAATAGAAGGATTGGTAGCATTTTCAGATGCTAAAATTGTTTAATTTTTGCAATAATTTATATTAAAATTCAAAATCCCCTCTATAAAAGCTTTGGTGACGTTTACGAAGTTTTCGCGTACGATCAAGAAGACACAAAAGTGCATCGTTCGGATCTCTTCTTCTAGCGCATAAGATTCTCGTGGCATCTCGCTCATGCACGTTTTATTGATTTTTATTTCTACCAACCGTGTGCGAAACGACGGTGACGTCTCCAAAGTTTCTTCAAATTTTCATTATTTTATTTTTGAAAAACTAAAGCCTAGTTTGAAAAATAAAAAATTATAGAAGACTTCAATTGTGCTGAACTATCGAATAAGCCAATAAAAAAAGATGTGTTACGGCCCCATCAACGTAGTAAAGAATAACTTTCTTAATTCCTTTGTCTTTTCACTCTTTAAAAAATGACAGAACTGTTTATTTCGTTCGGTCCTCTCTTTGCAATTTCCTCAATCTAATCACAGTAGCCTTCATGTGTCCCGTCTTAATGTAAAATCGTAAAGGTAAATCATAAAGTTATGGGTAGAAAGTTTGCTTTTATAATAAAACTGGTTCACTTTTTCTAAATCAAAGCAAGCTGTACATACAGACTTATCATTATTTGCTGTTTGTTAACCTTTATAGTATCTTTTAAGGTTCTACCACTTTCCTTTTCTTACATTTTTAGTTTATCTCCTGGACTTGCTGTTACATAGACTGCACAAATATTGCATTGGTAGTTCTTAGATTTAAAAAAAATACAAAACTAACCCAGTACATTTTTTTTAAGATTTTTCTGACATAGTGAGAAGATCTACAGAAAAAATTCGGTGTGTGATGCTGCTTATTACACCTTCGTCAATCTTATTGGGTCTTCTAGAATGCATGTATTACAGAATTAGAAAACATGTTATTTTCTATCTTCCCCTGCAAATCCTATTTTTCCAATTTTGCTGATTTCTGCTTGATTGTGACCACTCTTTTGATATTCTCTGATTGTACTCATGGACGATAGTACGCTTTTTGTTTATGATTTTAATACATCTGACTATGTAATACCACTGTCTACATCACCCATTTTCCAAAACACTCTCGTCGAACACTTCTTTTCTGTTTTCATCACTCTTCTCAAAATTTAAGTCTACATCTCTCTTTACACGCATTCTGCATTTGTTTTGCTATAATAATTTTACCTTTACAGTTATTATGCACCAGGAAACAGTTTAGTTCGTAATAATTTGTTTATATTAGACGAATTAGTCTGATGAGTCATCATGTAGATAATTAGAAACGAGATGCAAATAATCTTACAATCTCTCTACTATGTAGTTGCTAACGTCAAGATAGATTAAATGAGATATTTGCGTGTGGTACAATGGATACCTTTAACAGATGTACTAATTTGATACTTTTCCTCACCTAAAAAAATGTCGACAAGTACATTCTCTCTAACATCTCAACGTTGAGTCCTATAAGATATAGTTTATAGTTAAGGAATAGCACCTAATGATAAATTTTTAGGTGCTACTTGCTATAATTGATATAATGTTTTAATAACATTATGCCCCCAATTTTACTACTAGAGGACACTCTCCACATATAACTTTACAATTTATGACATGGGAAATCATAAAAGCTACTGCCAAATGTTTGGAAAAATGTTTGAAACAAGGAAATTTCAAAGATAAGACCGAAGTAAGTAGTTCTATCATTTTTTAAGAGTCAAAAGAATTTAGAAAGTTATTCTGTATTCCGAAAATTATGGCGGTCAAAATCGAAACTTTTATTTTATCAATATTTCCATATGCTTCCATGTCTCTAAACCAGAAAATAATTCACAGCTTCCTACTTAGAAGTAAGGCATATGCATCCTGTTATAGGAAAACATAAATTGGTGAATTAGGATAAAGATTACTTCATACAATAAAATTTAACTGTGGTTATGGTGATAAGTTAGAAACAGTAACATTGATAACAAATAATCGCAAGAATAGAACTGTGTATAAAAAAAATTCAATCCTCACTAATCGCATTTTTCAAGATAAGTAATCCGTTTCTGTTATTTTTGTTAATTAATTTTCTTTTTGACATTCTTTGTACCACACTATCCTCCCTCCACACTCGTGAACTTAGTATGAAGTAAAGTTAGGCTACGTTTATACGGACGAAATCGCTGCGATAAGATCGCACCGATATACACGCCGCACGTAACCACATGTTAGGTTTTCTATCTTATTTATCGATGATGGTTATAATAAAAAAAAAGCAATTCTTAGGTGAATCCGTTTTACAAAATAGATTAACTATCGAACTTTTCACACTTAATTAATAAGTGCGATTTCCAAAGTAATCTGTTGACGAAAATGCGAATGGGTTATGTGCAAAAAGTTAATACATTAAGGTAAGTAAAACACAGCTGCTTTAAAATTTTAATATAAAAAACTATTTTGACACATATTTAGGAAACAAAGAGGATATCGAGTTGTTAACTACCGGGATTGCATCGTTGTGCACTTTCGAACCACTTCCATGATTTCTGTTCTTGCTTGGAGAAGCATATCAGGAGGCATTGTATCTAGGAACGGGACCAGCGATTTCATAAAAGCCGCATTCCCCCATTCATCGTCTTTCTTTTCTTTACGTTGCAAATCAATGCTTTGTTGTGAAATATTTGTAGTAGTTGTTATGCCATCATCCAAGGCTTGCATCGCTCTTTTCCTAGAACGGGTTGAAACAGCGTTAGGCAGCGTGGAGGGAGGAGATGCAGCTGTAATATCACAATCAAAACTTTTTTCAGTTTCTTGTGTAACTTCATCTTCTTTGACTAGTAGCAAAGATGGTAAGGTGGACGATGACTCACAGGCGTCAGGTTGAATTATAAGAAATTGTAACTGATCGTAATATAAATATTTTCTCTTTTTTATGGTATTTGCACCACTTCGTATAACCTTTTCTGCCTTTCTGGCCTTAACAAATTGATCACGCAGTGATCGCCATTTTTGTTGCAGTTCTTTACCTAAAAGAAAATAAATGTATTCTAAATAATATTTTAAGCAAATGTATTAGAATTTGCTTATTAGTATGTGTACAATAGGGATTTGTGTTATTTTGGTGAATTTGTGGTAAGCGTATTTTTGGAATTTTTCAGCAATCATTAAGCAAATTATTTATTATATAGATGAGATCTAAATGTTAAAAATTTATTGCACTTACACATAATATTCTTTTGATATTTTCGCTTTTCATCCCAATTATCATACATAATCTTCGCAACTTCATCCCACAACTTGATTTTTAAATCACGATTTTTATATTCTTCCAACTTAAAATTGTACAACGCTGGGCGATTTTTAACCGCACAAATGAATTTTACGGTATCGAACATATTTAATATTTACCTACTTTCTCGATATCACGCAATGTCTCATACCAAGGTACGATAAACTTGTAATAAACACCACTCCAATCAAGGCGAATACAACGAAATCTGTGCGATTAAAGCTTAAAGTTTCTGGCGGTAAGTCGCAATACGCTATTTTAAATTATCCCGATAAAATTAAGAACTCTCGCTGCGAGATAATGCTGAAACGCAATAGCCTGCGTCAGTCTGCGTTTCTCGACGATTCTCGCAATGACGTTTCGCTCGCATCAAGTGGGGTAAACATTATATGTCGGTAACATTTAGCTGTAATATAGCTTTTGTTTGAACTAAAATGATTTCTTTATAAAATTAAACGCGTTGTGCTCTAATCTATTTTTGTCGTAACAATTTATTACTTAACGTATGAAAAAAATTAAAAACACATCAAACTATATTATGTGTTGTGGGGGATTAAATACTATATAGGTTCAAAAGGAAATATAAATCTATGCTTTAGTATTACTGTAGGCTTTAATTAATTTTAGACTAAAATAATTAACTTATGGAAATTTCGAGTTGATAAGAATACTTCAGCAATTCTTTTATAGATGGACTTAGCCACAAACAGCTCTGTAATGGCAGTTGCTGTAGAACATTTTGGGTTGCCTAGGCAAATTATATTTAGTTCTGATTATTATAAATGAAATATAAAGTAAATTATAAACTAATTATAATCATTTAGTCAATAACTTAGTTCAGTAAAACCTTGATATAACGGATCTGGTTAGAATGGACTTCAGATATAACAGACACGTATTCCTCGAGTTCTCCATAAGAAATATAAATCAAGGATGGTAGTTTTAATTTTAATTGTTATTCAACACTAGATTGCTGTATATTTTTATTGGACGAAAAGTAGAACTAACACTAGATCTAGAACTAGAAACATTCGGGTTTATGTATACATTTCTTAAGATGGTTAAAACTTTGAGTTCTATAGGTTTGCAGAAAAGTAGTTCTTCTACTGCCGATATACCATCACAAAATCGGACATAGGCAATTAAATGAACGTCTTTATTGCTATCTGTTGCCTCGTCAAGCTGAATCGAAAACAATTTGTCACGCAATTTTTTAAGAAGCTGATGCTATAAATTGTCGGCTATATCACCAATTCGGCGAGCAACACTATGATTTGAAAGAGGTATGGATTGCAATTGTTTGGCAAAATTATCTCCAAACATAATTTCTACAATCTCCTTCGCAGTTGGCAGAATAAGACTCTAATTAGATTTTATTCAGGTTTTATTCCTTAATTAGACTCTAGGGCACTAACAACACGCTGCACTAAGGGGATTAAGTATACGTTGTTCTCATATATCAATACATTTTTCTATATATGAGTCCCAATTGAAACACGTTTTGGACCAAGTGGGTCGAAGTGTGTTTTCCCCAGGTTAAGTGATTGTCTAAATGGATTCCCAAGTATTTAATTTCAGTTTGAACTAGCAAAGGGATATTGTCACTTGAGAAGGAGATTTTGTTCAATCCCGATAATACCTCGAGCCCTTGTTTATAGATATACGATATATAAACTCAACTTAACATTCGTTAAAAAATATGTCGACGACATAATTTTTGTCTGCTCCTACGTGCTCTAAGTTGGAGGTCTAGGAGACGTTCAATAGTTTCGTTTAGTGATGGAACGGATAGTGATTTTGCGAAAAGCCGGACACCGGACATTCGGTATTCCCTTCAGCCGGATATCCGGTTATCCGGCATATCTATCCGGCCATTATGGTTATAATTTCTGATGCATTTCTGAAGTAATACCCTACATTGCCACTTTATTGCGATATTGGAGTAAAAATGAAATTAATAAGAAAGCTGATAAGATATGTCAACTTATTTTGATCCAAGATACAAAATGAACTTTTTTGATGATGATTTAACTAACGAAGCAACTCTAAAAAGAGGATACTAAAATTAATAATTGGTGATATTTCCACAAGGATCCTTCAAGAAATTAATTTTATGGCGAATTTTGAAAGTTTCAAAATTTCAAATATTGTTTTCTCAAAATCTAAAAGTTTTTTTTCAAAACGGGATGGTTCATTGGAAAGAGGACACTTTTATTAACACTTTGGGAAATTTTCATACTCATATTCCAAGAAATGGATTTTATACGAATTTTTAAAACTTAATCGGTAAAATTGTAAAATTCGAAAAAATTGTCGATCATTTCAAAAATTTATTTCTCTAAAACTAAAAGCGATTTTTCAAAACGGCTTTTTGCATTAAAAAGAGGATACTTTAATTAATAATTGGTGATATTTCCACAAGGATCCTTCAAGAAATTAATTTTATAGCGAATTTTGAAAATTATCGATGAAAATTGCAACATCGAAAATTTTATCAAAACTTCAAATATTGTTTTCTCAAAAACTAAAAGTTATTTTTCAAAAGGGGTTGGTTCATTGGAAAGAGGGCACTTTTATTAACACTTTGGAACATTTTCATACTCATATTATAAGAAATGGATTTTATAAAAATTTTTAAAACTTAATCAGCGAAAATTGCAATATTCGAAAAAATTGTCGATCATTTCAAAAATTTATTTCTCAAGAATTGAAAGTGATCTTTCAAAACGGCTTTTTGCATTAAAAAGATGATACTTTAATTAATAATCGAAAGTGTCAATAGCGACAGTTCTGTTAGTAATGAATGTGATGATGAATTACAGTGAAGAGAAGAAAACTAGACGAAACTGCAACAATAGATTTTATATATCGTATTGGGATTGTTGCAATGAGGTTGCTAATAACAAACCTGATATAAATAAAGTTGTATTCAATGAAAAAAGTCCTATTGGGGTTGAACTTGATTATTATCTGCAGTGTCCAACACCTAAAAGAGATACTATTTCCTGGAAGGATAGTTGCCGGATATCCGTTCCACCACTAGTTTCAATATTCACATATAGTTTACTATTGAAGTAGAGAAAGAAAATTACGTGTCTTTTCTTGACACAAAAATGATGGAGACAACAATAACACCGTCGAATTTGATTGGTATAATAAACCCACTTTTTCTGGTAGATACTTTAGTTCATTTCACAAAATTAAACATAAAATCAACATTGCACTTGCAATGAAGCATAGGATCATTAATATTTCAGAACCCCATTTAACTCAAACCAATTTATCTAAATAAAAAAATATTTTTTTGGACAATTCATATCCTCCAGATTGCTTAATAATAACCAAATTAATTAAAATGTTCAAAACTACTACGGCAACAGCAGCTTAAAAATAGTAGAATATTATCCTTTTAAACTTGATAGAGTTTTTTCTAAGTTGAAAGATAAAATTCCCTTTGAATATAATAATAATAATAAATGCCTTTATTAGAAAATAAGCTTAATTGTACAAAAAAAAAACATACAAAAGAAAATAGGCGAGTTCCAGCTTGTACTAGTTAGTACAGCTGCTCTAACTAACCTAAGAAACAAAAAAGAAATACATGACTCGGCCAAAAATTACAAAGCAAAAGCTAGATACAACAACAAGATTGCAAAACATGTCAGATCAGCGTTTGCCCCCATGTAGACATTGTTCAAGAAAACAAGAATATTTCTGTGTAAATTTAAACCTTCGTAGTGAGAACCCCTTGCAATTATCGTCCACTTCATTATATTTCGAAGTTATTTGAAATATGTATGATCTCTGAAACAAAGACAAACGTTAGAAGGGTGTCGACAGTCTTCCGCGAAATCGCGTATTTATTCGGTGGACATCATTTCGGAAAGTTATCAGTTGGTAGAGATACTGTGGTTCCTTGCAGTTTATAATTTTATGGTATAGGCACAAACACTGCACTTTCCTACGATGATAGCATATTTAGCATATTATGATACATATCAATCTAATGTCATTTATTGTGTACCATGCGGTTCTTGTAATGAATGTTACGTTAGTCAATCTAGCCAATTGTTAAAAAATCCTTAAACTAACACGGGGGTGATGTTTTAGAAATTTAAAAAGAGGTTGTGCTTTAGCACAACACAGCTAGGATACTGGTCACTAATTAATTAAGTTTGAGGAGACTAATGTTTTGGATAGGGAAGATCATAAACGCTTATTTCTAGAAATGTTTCATATTGTTAATCAAAAGCTTACAGTCAATTTTAACACTGATGTCAACTCTTTGAGCAACGTATATTCCTTCATTTTCGAAATTTATAACAAAAAAAATATCCGACTTTGATTTAAATTTTTAAATTTAAATTTACTATTTTGTTTTAACGTTTTCACGCTTCACGTGGAACAAGTGTTTTTCAAAAAAACTTGTTTGGTTCATTCGCTGACCGATTTGCGACCTTTGTGGTTCTCACATGGTGCGTTATTGCCGATTTTAAAGATTTTTTTCGCGATTTCTAGTACAATCTGTAAGTTTTTTACTATTTCTTTATCGCTAGTTAAGTAATAGTTGCTTGATTTTGTAGAAATTCAAGCCCCGAAGAAGCTTAAAATATATAAGCGAAATATTGGCATGTGAAAAACGAATTGCTGTTTCAACAGTCCTTAATCCTATCCTGGAAATTAAATTTAACGCTCGACTGTCTAGTTTTCTTGCCTCTGTTTAGTGTAAAAGTGAACTATGCAGATTTTTTGCAGTTTACTTTGATTCGCCACCGTTCATTCATCACCCAGTTTCAGTAAGTGTTTTTGAAGATGACACAAAGCAATTTGGGGATACCTATGTGGGATCAAGATAACAGTATCAAATATGAGAATCGCAGTAGATTGCTTTTTAAGTTTAGTGAATAAGCTATAATGCCAGACTTTATTGAAAGCCTGCGAGAATGCCGCTATATAATAGCAGTTTTCTTCGAATCCCTTCTGATTGTTTGACGATATGTAAGTACCTGTTGAACAGGTAAGCACAGTTCCGTGGTGTTCTCTAAAGCCACACTAATAATTTGGTATTAAATTTTTCAGATAAGAATGAAGTTTGACTAGCAGCATTTTTTCGAAAAACTTACTAATCACTGGAAGCAAACTGATAGGGCGGTAAGATGCCACTTCGCTTTGGTCTTTATCGAGTTTCGCCACTATTTTAATCTTAGCAATTTTTCATTGTCCTGGGATGTATTCGAGTCGAAGCATAGCATTAAAAATGTAGGTGAGCATGTAATGAGCTTATCATTATTTACATTATATTTCACTTACCTTGCACCTAGGTACATGCTTCAATTGTTGCCTTGTAATGAAATCATAAGTCCCTGATTATGATCTCATTTTCTAGGTTTAGTAGAGTTAATAATTTAATTAAATTATTATTTTTTAAAAATTAATTTAACTAACGAAAATGAAGAAAAAGAATCCTCTTTAAAATTTAATTACAAAAATTGTCCAAAAATGTTCATCAACTTCAAAACTTTCTTAAGAATCTAAACCTTTTTTAGAACAATTTTGTGTCTATAATTCTAAGAATTCAGAAGACCTTTTTTTATGAATAGAAGACATGAGCATTGTATACCACTCCATCATCGCTTTGTGTGTTTACGTCTGCGCAGTTTCAAACGATACCACTTCCCTCCAAATAAACCCAGCTCGTTTTTTTGTTGGGTCATTTTGTGACTTTCGTCTTCTGCACGTGTTGAGCCTGTTCAACTTTTAAAGTGTTTTTTTTTTATCTATAGTGTTTTAGTGTTACTGTATTAAAAACATTCGATAACGGTTTGTGTTGAAATAAAAATGAAATGCTGTGAAGATGTTTTTAAAAAATAAAAATTTCTGTACGGAATTTTCATAAAAAATTTTTAAAATTGTCAAATTTTAAAACAAAACGGGTTTTAATTATCGCACAAAATGAACCGAGAATGGGCGTTCGGTACTTTTGTATGGGCCAAAATGAATAAAAAGTTTTGGCCGGGAATAGTAGTCAATCCTAAAGATATAAGTTTCGAAGACATAAAAGATAATTCTTCATTAATTTTTTGGTTTGGAGAACATTCAGTGTCGCCAGTAATAACTTAGTAGAAATAAATTTATTTTTATTTTTATAAATTCTTTTATTTTTAAGATTACGAATTCTAATATAATCGATTTTTGTGAAAATTTCAATGATAAATGTAAAACTTATGGTGCCTCTAAATCTTGGATATCCGCTGTTGTGGAAGCTTTAAAAGTAAGTTTAATTGTTTACTTAGATTATTTTCCATATTTCTATTCAATTAATTAGATCATTGGTGAATCAAACGATGTTTATGTAAATGAGAAGGAATTAATTTCTTGGGCTAAACTAAATATAAAATCTGTTAGAAGAAACAATTCGGGTTAGTTATACCTAACTAATATTTTTGTTTTTAGTTATGTCATTTTGATTTCATAATTTTTATAGATATCCCTCATTTTGTAAAAGAAAAATTATTATCTCTTTTCTTCGATAAAGAAGATCAAGGAAATGCAAATTATACGAAAAAACGTAAAAGTTTAGGCGTAAAACAAATTATTGAGCGCTATAGATCGAATGAAACTGATTCTTTAGAAATTTGTATGGGATGTTATTCCAAAGAAATTACAAACAACCATCCAATTTTTCATGGAAAAATTTGTAATACTTGTACAGTAAGTCACTAATTTCAACTCTGATAACCTTTCCTCCTCTTCCTTTCAATTTCTTCAGATTACACAAAATTTTTTTTATTGTTAGATACATATAAAAGAACGATACTATATTATTGGAACCGACCAAATAAAGGTAACAATATAACATTAAATAAATAAATTTTTTATCTTTTTGACTTATTAACAGTATTGCTGCGTAATCTGCAGTTGTCTTGGAAAAGTTGCTGTGTGCGATCGCCCTGGATGTCGATTGTAAGCATTTTTACTATTAACTTTTGATAAATTAATGTTAATTTTTTAGTGTGTACTGTTTCACCTGCATTGATGAATTCGCTTCATACGGAGCCCGCGAAGAAATTTTACGCAATCAAAATTGGCATTGTTTCATTTGCGACAACACCTCAAAGCTTAGAGGGACGCTTTTACTACGGGAAAATTGGAAACAAAACGTAAATACTTGTCCGTAAACAGCAAGAAACTTTTAGCATTATTTTTTCAGTTAATTTACATGCCGATATTTTCGTTGTCTTTAGAGATAGCGAAATATTAAATAGACCATTAGAAAGCCTGCCCTTTTCTTCATCTAAACTTATTTGTCCGAGCATACACCTCAAAATTATCAAATTTCAAGTCCATGTGCAGCCGTTATGGAACCGAAATTAAAAAAAAGCTTTATTAATTTAAAGACAATATACTTTGAGCTATCTAAATTCGGGTTTTGTCTAATCAATATCTCACGGCGTCGGCCAAAAAAAACGCCTAACAAATAACCCTACACATAGAGTTGCTAGATTGATCTTTCTCAATACAGCTCTTTTAATTGGTAGGAACGATAAACTATACCAGTATCAATCATATAGGAAATTTTCTGTTCTATGTCGTAATATGTCAGTTTAGAAGGGGCAAAACTCTGTGACCATATAGAACAGCGTTTCGCAAACATTTTTAAGTGGCGGACCAAAAATATCAATAAAATCTTAATGTGACCCATAAGAAATTAAAAGAGGGGATAATTACTGTTATTGAAAATGGAAGCTAAATCTGTCTAAACAGTACAAACAATAACAACATTAATTTTGAGATAAGCATTTCTTCTAAAATCAGTGGCTTTTATGTTGCTGCATCTCGTTCCACCAGTTTATGCATCCTAGGTTCAATCGACCCGTTTAATGCTATTCTCATTGTGGCATCATGCTTTCTATTCTTAATTGCAGCGAGAACTGAAAAGCCACTTTTCATTTATTTATTTACTTATTAAGACTATAGGCATATAAACGGGACGAACCCACAGACTCTGTGCCACAAAATAATACAAAAACAAATCACAAAAAAACAATGCTAAACCAAAATTACATTAACAGCGTAACGAGTTTGTTGAGGTAATAAAAATAAAAGGATTGACTTTACAATAATAATAGACATTGCAAAAAAGAACGCCAATTAAACCACATTAACAAATTACTTAAATTAATTGATCAGCTTTAAGCTTAGAGTATGCAATTACCAAATATTTAAATCCCCTGCGTGAACTACTGAAGACATTAACCCCCGCGTTGCGATGAAAATGATCACAAGTGTATGCCATTCTCAGCATAGGAGAATTCTGAAAGACGTTCGCGCGAGGAATGGGAGTGTAAAATATATAAGCTAATCGAAGCAATCGGGGAGGAACGCGTGTACTAATGATTTCAAAAAGTGCTGGCGAATCGAAGCTGCCATTGATGATTTTATGGTATGTTAAGGCATCACTACAAAGACGGCGCTGACGACGAGATAAAAGATTGAAGGATGAGCATGCGGATTCGTAATCAATGTAATCAATTGCGGACTTTTGACAAAGGTACTTTAAGAATTTCTTTTGAATTCTTTCAATACTCGAAATGTATGTGTTGATATTACGGATTCCAAACGGATTCAAAATATTATGAACATAAGCAAACATCCTCGAAATCTTCAGTGGTCCTCCACTGCACCAACGTGGCCGTCAAACATCAGATTTCCGTCATATATGACGCCCAAATCTCTAATCTGACTTACTCTGGGTATGGTTATGCCATCGATGTCGTACTCGTATCTGACCACATTCGAATTCCTTGTAAATAAGATAACATTACATTTCTCTGGATTAAGCGTAATAAAGTTTGAGCTGCAGTAACGGTGCAATGCAGAAATATCGCGCTGTAACCTAGAGCAATCCAGAGGTGAGGACACTCTAGCAAATAATTTTAGGTCGTCGGCATACGTCAAACACTTTGCACTATAAATCACCTCAAAGATGTCATTAATGTAAATACTAAATAGGAGAGGACCTAAGGCAAGCCATGGAATTAAGTATTCATCTATACCGAACTGTCGAAGTTTTGTAAGCAAAAGTTTATGATCCACCCGGTCAAAAGCCTTACTGAAATCCGTGTAAATAGAATCCACTTGATAAAAATCATTAATTGACTTTAATATGTAGTGAGTATATTCCAGCAAGTTACTCTCGATCAAGCGTCACGCAAAAAAGCCATGTTGCCTGCGATCTAATCTACTTTTCACTGTGAAAAATAGTCTTTCATAAATAACTTTTTCAAATATTTTGTTGAGTAGAGGTAGTAAGAATATAGGTCTACAATTCGATACCTCACTACGATCTTCGGATTTGAAGATAGGAATTATATTAGCCTCCTTCCAAACGCGTGGAAAAACCCCAGATTGAATCGACTGGTTGTATATAAATGTTAAAGGAAGCGACAATGATTCCGAGCAATTGCTAATTGTAATAGCTGGAATACGGTCAGCTCCCGGTCCCTAGGTCGCATCGATACCTCTCAACGCCTCCTCAACCTCTAAACGCTCAAAGTACATCGCATAGACACAGTCAGTATCAAAATTATTGGCGGAAACAGTTCCAGGCTGAGCTGGGATAAATACCGAGTGAAAGAAGGTGGCAAACAGCGAACAAACACTAGGACCATCAGTGGCAACCACACCGTTATGTGAGACAATTGCTGGAATATTATTCTCTCTTTTACGTTGTCTAACAAATGACCAGAAACATTTTGGGTTTAAAGTAATGTTAGTTTCCTCCCGGTAATTTTTATAATCTCTGTCTATAAGAAATTTGGACGAGAACCACACCCTTATGTCTACGTAATGTGGGAACAAATTTTTCAATAGCATCACGAATATAACTATAAAATAGCCTTACGATAATAGGGCCGTTAAGTATTTTTTTATTGGCTTATTCGAAAGTTTTTTTTAATTGATTGACCCTATATTTTTTAGTTTTTGATTTTGAATATTAGTTTTTCAAAAAAAAAAAATAAAGTTTGAAACTACAAGGCGCGAACTCCAAAGTACGTCACTCAGATTTGAGCGTATAAAAATCAATAAAATTCCCGGAGAGAGACAATGCTACGAATCTTATGCGCTAGAAGAAAACGGGAGCGAACGTAACGTCTGTGAATTCTTTCTTCTTACTTAAAACGTCATCTGGGGTCCGGGGTGGGGAATTTTAAACTTTTACATTAATTATTGCAAAACATAAACAATTTTCGAACGTGAAAACGTTACTAATCTGTCTAATTTAATTTAGATTATCGATTTTTTGAAAGACGGTCTTTCTAATCGATTGACCTTAACGGCCCTATTGTAAGAAACCGAGGTCCTGGAGTAAATATCGCTAAATATGTTGTTGCAAATGGTAGTAAACATTCCATTGAATGATCAAATATATCAGTAAGGTATATCAGTAAGCAATCTTTGCAAGCCATATGTTGTTTTTGAATTATTCTGCTAGTAGTAAATTTTGGTCATTTAAGAGTATTTCTTCAGTCAAAAAATCTTTTCAGTACCTTCCCCCTCGAAAGCCAGAGTATCTCTTCTTACAATAAAGCGAAAACTCGAGTCCGAACAGCGCTATTACAAATATGGTTTACAATTTTCACACAGTGATCTAAAACTGTGTCTAATTTTTTGTTTATATTTTTGAATACCAACTGTTCACTATGAAGAATGCAGTGGGTTTTTATTATATTTTTATGCGATAATTGCCCAATTTGTGTAACTACACCTGTGTTTTTTCCTAAAATCGCCACTGCTCCATCCGTACATTTATTCCAAGGAATGTCTTCAGACTCAATGTATAAATTTATGGCATCAAAAACTTCATAAGATGTAGTATAGGATTGTAGTTTTAAGGTGCATAATAATGCACCTTATAATTCTTCTTTCATGTCCTCCAACTCAAAATCAATACATCTTACACCTGCTATCAATAACTGTAAGGCATAATATGGTGAATCTTGCAATTTATCAATTAGTTGTAATTCCAGGTTATTTGAAATGCTAAGTATTCGTCTGCTTACTGTTTCAGCAGACATAAGAATATTATTAATTTGCACAGCATATTCTGCTCCAAACATTTCTTAACAAACTTCTTTGAAACCTGGTTTTGCACTTCTCCTATATTACACGCATTTTTGGTCTTAGCAATATGCAATGCTACTGAATAACAACATTTCAAGTATTTCTTATCTGTTCCAACATATTTAGTCAAACTTGATTTATTCATGTTCAATTCTTTAAGTTTTCTTTTAAAAAATTCTGATGGTCTGTCTTTTTTTGAACTTGAAAAAGGATGGTTTAAGGTGCAGAAAAGTGGAAAGAAATCAGCTTTCGTAGTGGTGTATTTAATATTTCACTATCCATAAAAACAACGAAGATATCGGCTTGTAAATTAGGTAGAAAAACAAGGATATATATATAAATATATTAACCCCTTAATTTGCATGTATTTGCAAAATAATTGGTCATTAAGGGGTTAAGACATAAAAAGAAATTTAATAGTATTTAAATTTTTAGATAACAAATTTATTTGGTCTCGAAAAATGTCCACCTGCTCCACCTACAAAAAGGCGAATAAGGGTGTTATCGTTGTTTGACGGAATCGGAAGCGGATTAACATCTCTTATCAATTTGAAAATATCAATAGAAGAATATTATACAAGCGAAATAGATGTAGATAGTATTGACGTCGTTGAGAAAAATTACCCATCTGGAACAACACTTTTAGGCGACATTCTATCTCTAAATCAAAATCAACTAAAATCTATATTACCCATAGATTTATTAATGGGTGGATCACCATGTAACGATTTAAGTCGTGCAAACCCAAATAGACGCGGGTTATGGGATTCCGACGGAACTGGAATATTATTTTTCGAATTCTTTAGAATTTTATCCTTCATAAAATTACACAACGAAGGAAGACATCTGTTTTGGCTGTTTGAAAATGTTACTTCGATGAGTCCAGAATCGAAACAAATTATTACGAGATTTTTGGAATGCGAACCCATGATAATCGATGCGGGTTGGGTTACCCCAATGCGAAGACCAAGACTTTTTTGGGGAAATTTGCCGAGTATTGCTCACCAAGAGATTATAGATGATGGACCACTTTTGCAGTCCGTTTTATTACCTGGAAGAACAGCGAATGTTGATAAATTGCAAACTGTTACAACAAAGTCGAATTCTCTATTACAAGGTTAGCTTTTTAATTTTCATTAAATACAATTAATATTTTTTAAATTAATTTAGGTCCCAAATGTAAATTACCAGTTATAGACAAAAATGGACAAGAAGATTATTTACACATAACTGAATTAGAAGCGGTTTTTGGTTTCCCAAGAAATTATACAGATATAAACAACTTTTCGTTTAGCAAACGACTAAAGTTAATAGGAAAAGCATGGAGTGTCCCTGTTATAATGATGTTGTTAAGTTGTTTAAAAGATTATTATGCAGCTTGTGATCATTAATGTTGTTTGATAACTAACATAGATTTAGTTATTTTTTATTATTATAATTTTAGTCTTAATGAGTTGTTAAAATTTTAGATTGTTTTAACAGGTTTTTTAAAAATTTTTAAAATAAAAATATTCTACGTGAAATTTTTAGATTTATTTGTATGTTATTGAATGTCCCGAAGAATGCTCAGTTGAATGTTCTTCAACTATAAAATTTAAAAACCTCAACTCCCGCAGCTTCTTCCTACAACAAGGCCTTCCACTAGGATTCATCCTGGACACATATACGTTGCTCTACGCCGATGGCACAACCTTGGTATCGCATAATCCGGACATTTATACTTCAGTTCGGAAACTTCAGTCGCTTATTGATGTCGCGGAAATCTGGTTTCAGAAATGAAACCCATCGAAAACTTAGTTTTTTGTTCCTTTTCTCTCAACTCATGCTCCTTCTCCAGTAGTAACAATCCAATCGTCCACCATACCTCCCACATCAATCCGCAAATATCTTGGAATAACCCTTGACAGAACCCTTAAATTCTCTGCTCACGTCATCAAAGTAAAGATGAAAGTCAAGAACCGCGGCAACCACTTTAAATCCCTAACATTGAGAGGTCACGGATTATCAACTGAATACATACATTTATAACTCGCTATGCAGACCAATCATCGCATATGCATCAATTATCCTTCATGACACGCCAAGAGATTCTAACTACCACCTAGAAGTTGCAGAAAGAGAACTTTTCTACAGCCTTACCAAAATTACTCCTATCTGCTCCCGCCTATAAGTTTTCTCCACTAAAGTTGCCAAAAATTTTCCATCAAACACCATTAGTTTATTAGTTCTGTATCACACCACACCTCCAACAGTAACCATTTAACACTCTACCATAGAATATTTCGAAACGGAGAAGACTGATGGCTAATACAACAATGTCACTAACCTCGGGCAGAAAAACCAAGGTCAATAGCCCTATTTCTGCAAATGTATAAATTTTTTAAGGGATGTATTTGAATGTTTTTGTAAGATTTTTTGTTACGTACGGAAGTAAAATTTGTTCTCTCTTAACAATCATGGGTATTTAACGTTACCATCATTTGTTATCAGGTTCAATATTTCTTGATGACTTGAATTTAGAGATTTCTACTTTTTTGTTGTCGCACGTGAATAATGGTAACAATATTTGCTTCTATCTTCAATGAAAAAGGTCATTTTATCAAAAAACCAACCCCACGAAAAAAAGAACAAGAAAAAAGGTTCGAATTCTAAATAGGGTTCTAAATAAACATCACGGTTTATCACCGTATCTTTATACCTGCTTTTAACACGTTCGCCGAGACAAATTTTGCGTTATACTTTCTTAATGGCCATTGAGATTTTTCGGAATTGTTCTAAATGCTAACAAATACTACATAAAATCTAGTCACAATAAATTCATCTAACTGAGATGTTAAGTTTTTGAACCAAATAAATTGAATTACAGCTTGGTAAATTTATCTTGACCGGTAAAGGTCAGATGCGTCGTAGCAGTCGCTTCTGTGTTATATTTCACGGAATGAAGATCGTATACAGACTCAACAAAATTATTAGTGTATATATTGCAAAAATTTTGATGAAAAATAAGATTAAAAATGTGAGGTAAGAAACCTTTCTAAATTCTGATAAAGTGTACTTCACAGAACAGTAATTACACCGATCGACAAAAATAAACTTTTAGTTTGTCTTTATTTTGACTCCTTAAGGTGGAAAACACGTGTAGAATACATATATTTTTTTGTGACGGAAACTTGACTGAAACTTTATTTAAAATTAAACTTAAAAATATATTTCTTAAAACTAAAAGTTAAGATTTTGTGGAGTATTTGACTTGAGGCTGTCACAAGTGCCCATCACAAATCTGCCAACAAACGAGGACTCCATTTACACTGGTATCGTTTTTCTATGCAGGAAATATGATAGAACTTTTTTCCATGTTCGTCGATAACGGCTTCTAAGTGTGAAGACGAAATGGGAGTGTAGAAAGTGTATTTTGAAAGATATATTGTAGTGGCGCTACGTACAGGCGAAGCAGGTAGCCGCCTGTAGCGGCCAAAATTAGGGGCCACCGAAACCACGTTCCTCTCAGGCATAAAAAACTGATATTAATCACGTATTCTTACACTAACTGAATTACATTTGCCATTTAGAGGAAAATCTGATGTACTCTTTGAAAAAAATAACGGAGTGCTTTCGAAATATTGAATGTAGGTTTATATGATCCAATCCTTAAAGAACATCTACGACCTATAACGTAAGATGTTCATTCGTAACAGGTTCATTATCTTAGTAAAAATACAAAATGAATTAGTAAATTTATTGACACAAATGACTAGAAGGAAAATTATAGAAATGGCAAAAAAGTCGATTTTTTTTCTGTAATCATGGAAACAAGTCCCGATATCAGCCACAAAGAACTACTTACATTAATAATTCGATTTGTCAACACCGAATCAAAGAATACGTATTTGATGGCAGAACATTTTATTGAAGTAACTGACATTACTGGAGTCGGTCTGGCATCTATATTTTTAGACACAATAAAAGTACTAGGTTTAAACATTTACAACTGTATAGGACAGGGCTACGACAGTGGAGCCAATATGAAAGGTAAGAATAACGGACTACAAAAATATATTTCAAATATAAATCCGAGAGCGTTATTTATTCCTTGCTGCTGTTACTCTATTAATCTTGTTTTAAATGATGTTGCAGAATCAAATATGAAATATTTGTATTATAGTATGAAATGGTTATTTTTTTTTGAATAATACAAAGCTTGTATAATTTTTTTCTGCATCCCCTTATAGATGGTCTATTCTTGTCAAACATCTGATTAATTTAACATTAAAACCTGTATGTTCTACGAGATGGGAAAGTAGGATAAATGCGATCAAGCCCGTTATATTTTTGTCCCGTCACTTTTTGGTAATGTGAGTTTTTGCTGGGTTCTCATGGAAATAATACTAAAGTGGAAGCAAGCAATATATTAGAGAAGTTAAATTATCAGGCCATATGCATTACAATAATTTGGTATAAATAGCAATGTAACAAATTTTTAATAAATTTATATTTGTTAGTTTGTAGTTTGCAACTTGTTCAATAAATAAATAGAAATAAATCAAAGTGCATTTTTGAAAGGACACTTTTTTAAAATTTTTATTTTGGCAAGGGCGGCCAAATCCATTTTCGACTGTAGCGGTCGCCAAATCTCTGAGAACTAAATATCTTTTTAGTTCTTCGTCACGGCGACGAAAACGACACACCTTAATATCTGGTGTGTCGTTTTCGAGTCTTTCATTCCAGATCCTAATAGTTCACACAGTTTTTAGACAATTTAAGTTGCGAACCAAATCGTTAAGATCAGCTTGAGTTAGCAAAATGAGGTTCTTTACTATCAGATACATAGGTTGAATTATGAATTTCATCTGCAATTGCACTACATGAAGGCAAATCGATGGCATTATTTGTCTGATTTGGTATTGCAGGTATAGGTAAATTAGCAATATAAGGGTGTGGTCGTGTTGCAGAACGTACATTTGTATATTTCACAGTATGTTTTGACGCCACATTTATCCCATTTATATCTCAGGCACAAGTAGCAATCAGATACGTAGTCTACAGGCTCTCTCCAAATAAATAAGATTTTTTACGCATGTCATATAGCATATATCAGGTGCCCAATCCTTATCTTGATAAGCCACAGAAAAGCCAAAATAATCACGATATAACACTCCGTTCCCAGTTTTGTGATATTTTCTTGTGAACCTTTTTTGTTCGCCAGATCGGTGAAATTTCATCATTAGCTTTTGAAAGTTACTTCACCACATCATAGAAAAACTGTAAGATGATTGATACATTTCCTTCGCATATTGAGAAACTAGCAACGATTTAAATGTACATATGTATGTATGATTTAAGTAGAATTAGCGGAAAATACGAAAAATAATTTTTGTAATTCGCTACGGTAATGGAAGCTATAACAGTACTCAAACGGGTGCTGTAATGAGACTCCTTACAGCATCCGATGCTGTAATGAGATTTTAGTAACATTTTATGGAACCAGTTCAAGTTGGTGACATTGGGTCATTAATTTTTCTAGTTGTCAATGTGACAATTTTTGTCTATGGATGTTTAAACACGTTCTTAGCATCGAATACAAAGTCCATAATGATGAGGACATTGACTCTGAGCAATTTCTCTTATTTTGGGAGGTGTACATCAAACATTTTTTTCAGGTGAATATATTTTGTGTTTTGACAGTTTCTAATTGTCAATTCAAAGTTTCTATTTTCAAGTGTTTCGGTATTACCAACTGCTACATACCTATTTCCCTACATTGCCAAAATTTACTTTATTTTTGTTAAAAAAAAGTATAATAACGCGAATTACAAAAAATAGCATAAAAACACGTTTCAGAAGACTTAAAGCACTCATTCATTAAAAAACTCGTGGCTTCGCCACTCGTTTTTCAACTTGAATTCGTGCATTTCAAGCGTGTCTTACGAAACTTGTTTTTTAATATACTATTGTGTTTTCTAATGAGGTTATGTAGTAAAGTAATAATTAGCATTCAGAATCCCTGTAGCAAATAACTCGTCGATCAATGTTATTAAATTTAATTTCTCGGAGAAAAGTTACACATTTTTTTAAAACATCTTAAAACCTATTCCATAAAATTAAAAGTATTTATGGTTAAGTAAAAAATAATAACTTACCGCCTATGTTGAAATGTATATAACAATTTATAAATAAAAAAAGGAAAAAATAGGTAATGAAGATAAATAAGAAAAATGTCCACCACATGACAATTACGTGGTAGGTAAATGATGTTTCGAACCATAAAGGGTAGGTACTCGCATAAACCCAACAATTTACTAATCAATTTTCTTTATCGTGATTTGAAGCGGTATTCTTATAAAAAAGAAAAAGAAAAAATTCCTCCTGACAAACGACACGTTACACCTAGGACACCTCATCTTTTATACAAACTTTCGTGACTTGAAAAGCTCGCCTTCGATTTATAATGCACACGAGTTGAAGAAGATCTAACAAAGTCTCAGTGATTTCCCAAACATTATA